GGTTTCATGGGATTTAATAATGTTTATATGCGACAAGAAGGTAGATGTGAAGTTTGAAAACTGGGAGAATGTCACAGTGTTCAAAAAGTACTTTTAAGCTTTTAAAGTCTGATCAATATAACACCCATAAGAGGGTTACGAGGCATAGTGACTATTTCTTAATTTTTTTTAATGACTTTGTTGTATTGAGTATTGTTCATAAAATTGTCGAACTAGATTAGGAATTAGTAAGAACTGATCCAATTCTGACTAATCGGCTGATTTTGGCAGGTTTCTTTGGCTTTGTAAGAGAATTTCACAAGTCTATGAGGGACCCTAGTGAATATGATCGGTCGAATCGCTCAATTCTCATTCATTTAATTTTTTATTATTATTTAAAAATTTTAATTTTAAATTTTAATATAATTTATTTTTTTGGACTGATTCTTCATAGTTGGTTGAGTCTGCCAAATTGACCCTGCAAATCGGTCTAACAAGTCTCCAATTCAGCCTCCCAATCTAAATTTTTTAAAACTGGTACCAAAGGTAGATTAAGTATTTGTTGGATACTTTCTTAGACCTTAGAGTATTTATGGTATACTTTCTCTAACATTATTATATACCTTTTTTGACCTTACTATACTTTCTCATATTTTATTTTTTAAATAAACTCTATCTAGGACAAAGAATATGGGGGGGAAAACATATCCAAGTCCATTCATTTTTATATGTCTATTTAGGGTGCAGTTGGCATACGGATGCATCCTTAGGTGTAGAGGTAAGGTGCACCTTCCAATTTTATTATGGTATATAATCTTGATATAAAATGTTTTCAGGATTATCTCAAAATCTATTTTTATATCTAATTATAAAATTTTAAGTTTAAAAAATGTTTAAAATCAAGTAGATCTATAAACATATGAAAATCTTAAAAATGGACGGTGTAGATAATATGTTATAAAATATACTATTTATGATATTTAAAATCTTTTTATTTTTCATGGTCATGCATCTTGATGTTGAGATGATCAATCAAAGGGATTTTCAATATTAAAACTACTTTTTCCGACGGATTTTTGAGGTGCATCCATAGTTCCAAAGTTGCATCCTTTTTTAACTTTTTCCTATGTATTTATTCCTACCGACCCGTTCAATCTCATGAGTAAGAAGGGAGTCCCAACAAGACCTTAAGGTGTTATCCGTTGTGTGGTTGTTAGTTGACTATTCTACCTCGGACTGTTTGGCTTGGCCCATTCATTCATCGCAACCTTTCATAACAATGGGGATAATTTAGGAAAATATTAAAAAAAACTAAAAAATATAAAAATAAATAAATTGGTGCTTGTGGGGTGGGAGGGATACAGTGGGATCTAAAAAAAATTAGATAAATTTATATAAAAAAAGAAGAAAAAAAAAGAAAAAGAGGAAGAAAAACTATGTAAGGCGGAGGGGTGGTTTAGGGGGCCGGGGAGCATTGGGCTGATACCGATGCTTCCCATAACCAGTCAGGCCTCGACCTATTTTCGACTCGAATTGGCAATTCCTGATCTAGTTATAACAAATGTTACTGTGGAAGTAGGGAATTGACAGTAATGGTTTTAACTACATATTATATATGATTTGTTTATTAGATTTGAAATTTATCAATTGGATGATATTTTTTTTTTTGTAAGACGCTTGTAAACCGATCAGATTGGAGCATAAATCTTCGTCTCCCTCTCTCTCATTCTCTCTTTGATTGTTTTCTCTAGATATTTGTAAAATATACATTTTCAACCCGACCATGTCAAATAATGATATCAAATGCATCTTTTTTATAGTTAATAGTTACTGAATAGCAAGTTTCATTAGATAAAGGAATGGAGCTCCAAAGTCCCAATGAAAATAATAGAGGAAGAAATAGAAGAATACAAACAATAGTCCTTACCTCTAAAAGATGAACCGTCTCAATTGTGAGTTATAACAAACCTAACCTCGACTGAGCCAACGCCACTACTGAGAGCCCAACTAAACTACATTGAGAATTGTAGCAGTCAAGTACCACCAAACCTCTACTGCCCGCCCAAACTTTACCATTATACATCCCATAAACATCCATGCATGCTCCAACGGTCACATGGGTTGGGGTCAGCTCGGTACATAAACAACCGGCAGGCAACTAAATAGCCTAAAAAGCATAGCGGCATTGAGGAGGTTGGCAGCAGCACACGACCACAACCAGGGAGCAAAAGGTCTATAAAGAAGTGGAAGAAAGAGAGGAAAAGGGGGAGAAAACCCAATTTAAGGAGAAAAGGGAACAAAGAAGAAGAGGGCGGAAGATCATCTCGCTAGAAACTTCAAAGACACCGTATGCATCTGACTAATCATTGGAATTTTCAATGCCTCAAGAAGGAATGAGAAAAATCGCGACAGGGCTCACTTAGGCCAGCTAAAGGT